GTGGTGGGGGTGCAAAAGTAGTTCACAGTAAGTATACAGTAAGTATTCTATACAGTAGGTATACAGTAAGTATCCTATACAGTAGTTATGCGGTAAGTATCACATCGTTGTTGTAGTAATGCTTGATTCAGTAAGTTATCAGCAAGACAGAATAAAATGCGATGCATCGTGGTGAAATCAGGCTCTCGTCAAAATAATGAAATCAAATAAATTGGCATTTTTGTGGTCGTCTGGCAATTTTTTTTCGAATTTTCTTTTTTTGGCTCAACACCTTTTATGTCTATTTAAAAACACATTTCTGTGTGGATGTTACAGAAAAACGGTGATTGAAGGCACAAAAATGTAAATTTTCAGTTTCCAAGGACTCTCAAACTATAGAAGTCACATAACTGGCAGCCATTTTCTCACTGATTTTACCTCTGAAATCAGGCGACCCACACCTCCTTCATTCACAAGTATTTCGACTTCTATTCAAGATAGATGGCTATTTTTTTCACCAAAGGCTAGGCAAATAAACAGGCTTTAAGACGATACCAATAACTTCATACATATGCCCAAAAATTGACCAGTGCCTGATTCCACTGCGTCGTAACACATGTGCAGCAGCGTGGTGGAACCATGCTCTCGTCAATTTTTGGGCATATTGAGTTATTGGTTTCATCTTAAAGCTTGTTCATTTGTCTTGTTTTCAAAGAAAAAATTACCCATCCATCTTCAATAGAAGTGGAGATATTTTGGATTGAAGGAGGTGGGGGTCACTTGGTTTAAGAGGTAAAATTAGCGAGAAAATGGCCGGAGTCTATGGAAATTGTAAATTTATATTTTTGTGCCTTTAATCAACGTTTTTGGTGACATCCTTAAAGGAATGTGTTTGTAAATGGACATAAAAGGTGTTGAGCCAAAAAAACAAAAATTTGATAAAAATTCCGTAGCAGGGAGAAAACTGCTGTTTTCTTCGATTTAATTATTTTGACGAGAGCTTGATTCCACCACGCTGCCTCACATATGATTAATGAATGTAAAGAAAGATTAAACATACAACAACCAAAAAAAAAAGAAAAGAAAAGGTCACCTAATTTAATGTGCTTCTAGTTTTCATGAATTGAGTATCGTACCAATGATGAGATACCTACTGCACACCTACTTTTGCACACCCCCCCTCGTTTATATCAGTGATATTGTGGTGTAACTGTGCAACTGAAAGAAACAGGTTGACTCTTTTACTTTTTGTTTGTTTGTTTGTTTGTTTGTTTGTTTTTGTTTTAAAATCGTTGCCAAGGTCATTCTGCTGTGCTGGTCCTCAAGAAGAAAAAAAAAAGGTTATTGCTGAATTGTTTTTTTCAACTCGATTTCTGTGTACTACCGGGGGCTTTAGACAGGTAGTGTATATACTTATATTGTTATTATTATTATTATTATTATTATTATTATTATTATTATTATTATATATATCTGTGTGTCTGTGTATGTGTTCAGGCTCAGGTAGGGTGAATGTATATGCTTGTCTCTTGTATTTAAAGGGCTTTTAAGAGTGCAGAAAGGTGTGAAATGCGTAGTAACTATATCGTTTCTATATTTATAAAGGTGCAGCTGGTATGTCCTACTTCTTTTCTTCCACTCTATTGCTTCTGCAGGCTGGCCAACTGTCCTAAAGTTCCCGAGACTGTCCCGGATTCAGCAGTCTGGAATTTGAAAAGACATTTTAGCCCACCCCATACCAAAACCAGTCTCTCTGGATGTAACTTTTTCTCCTTTAAAAAAACCAACAACCATAGCTACACTTTTATTGATTCCATAAGGGCAATTTGGTTTCCAATGGCGAACATACATACATACATTAATTTAGATACATAATTATAAATATGTACACATATACATACATAAAAACACAATTACACCAATACAGAACAATTTCACAACTGCGCCATTGCAGATCGCCACTGTTACGCAATCTGATGTTATAACGTTCGGGGTGTCCATGGTTGGGTTTGGAACAAGTTGGCCAGCCCGGTTTCTGTCTGTCTTCCTTTTTTTTCTTTTTCCTCCTTGCACGTAACTACGATTATTGTGTGAGTGTGCTTCTCCTTACTCAGACAATAACAAAGTAAAAGGCGTAGGCTACGGATGTCTCACTGGTAAGAAGAGAAATGTGTTAATTTTTTAATTTAAGCGAAACTTCCAGGTTTGTAACATGTAATTTGTAAATGGGCTTAGGTTTTAAAAAAAGCCGAACCTATGGCTTGTGGTATGTCAATGCGTTCAGGTTCAAATCTTTTTTAAAGCCAAATTTCCAGGTTTGTGACTGGTCAATAGGTTCAGGTTCAAATCTTTCGTAAAATACTCGCAAAAACTTTTAAAAAAGAAGAGAGGAAGCAGAAGGAGTTTTGTGGCATTGTTCGTTTCCCAATCATCTCAGAGGTAGAAGGAGGTTGTTGTTTGTGTGTGTGCGTACGTATGTTCGTGGGTGTGTGCATATGTGCATGCACGTGTTCGTTCATAAGGCGGACGGCTGGAGAACGCCACTGGTGGTAGGTCACATCTCTTATCTTTCTCTGTTGGTTCAGTCTGTCTCTTACTCTTACCATTTCACTGCACTGAATGACCATTATTTTGTGCGTGTGTGGACGTGCTTCTCTTTCCTCCAAAACCCAAACAAAAACTTTTGTGGTGGGTAGTTGGCCGGCGCTCTGGTGCGGTTTGCTCCTTCTTTCCTATCCAACATCTATGATCCTTTTTAAATCTCTCCTCCTTCCTTTCTTTGTATGTTACTTTCTCGTAACACTTCTGACCTTTGGCACTTGTTATTATGACCCCATTGTGTTGCAATTGCCTTAAAATTCTTACTAAAAATTAAATTACCTTTCTCAGCACTTAATGTCCATTATTGTGTGGATGTTGATGTTCATCTCTTTATTCTAAAACACAAACAAAAAGTTTGTTTTGTGGGTGGTTGGTGGGTGCTCTGGTGTGGTTTGCTCCTTCTTTCCTATCAAACATCTATCGTCCTTATCTCCCTTTCATCATTTTTATGTTTGTTACTCTCTTGTAACACCTCTAATCTTCTGGCGCTCATATGACCTAATGCAGTTGCGAGACATAAAACCCCTACTAAAATTAAACAAAAACAAAAAGTTTGTTTTATTGTTGTGCTTCTCTTTATTGAAAATCCCAAACAAAAACTTTATCGTGTAAATATAATGCTTCCCTTTGCTAAAAAAATTCAAAACAAAAACTTTGTTGTGTGGAGGTGCTGCTTACTCAAAAAAAAAACCCAAACAAAAACTTTGGGGTCCGTGGCCTAGTGGTTAGCCTCTCAGACTCCCAACTGTAAGGTCGTGGGTACGAATCCCGCCAGGGCCCAACGTTGTGTCCTTGGGAAAGGTACTTTACACAAATTTTCCTCTGTTCACCCAGGTGAGAATGGGTACCCGGCTATAGACAGTAACAGATCTTGTCAGTTTGTTAGTGTTTGAGAGCTTAATCAGCTGCTTGCACTGTATGCTTCCCGGGAAGCTGAGAATGTTTCTGAGTGTTCTATGGTCTGCTGGGGTAAGAAAATAGTGTAAAACACGCAGAGCTTGCTATCGAGCGGGGTTATGCGCTATACAAATGCTATTTGTTATTATAATTATTATTATTTTCATGTGTAGATGTGCTCCTCTTTGCTGACAAAACCCAAACCAAAACATTTGTCTCCAGGAGGAGAGAGAAAGCCAAGTTCTGGAGCAGCAGGGCAGGTCGGAGGATAGCGACGACATGGATATGTCAGATGAGGAGGGGCCGTCGCCCGGCAAGAAGAGCAAGACTGACTCGCAGTTTGATCTCGGTGAGGATCCATGCGTGTTGTTGTTGTTGGTATTGTTGTTTTCGTTGTTGTTGGTATTGTTATTGTTGTTTTTGTTGGTATTGTTGTTTATGTTGTTGTTTATGTTGTTTTTATTGGTATTGTTGTTTATGTTGTTGTTTATGTTGTTTTTGTTGGTATTGTTGTTTATGTTGATATTGTTGTTTATGTTGGTATTGTTGTTTGTTGTTGTTGGTTGCTGTTGTTGGTTGCGGCAGTGGAGTGATGGGTCGTGTAAAATGCCTTTAATTTAAAAAAAAAAAAGTTAATCTTCGTCAGATCTATTCAAATCGTATCCAGAGATTTTGCTGGCTTTTTTGTTATTTTGTAAAATCTTTCTTAATCTTGCATCCAACAGTTTTCAGACTAGCAGCAAATACAAAATAGTAACATGCTTTCGATCATGGAATGGTTAAAAAAAGGGACCAGATCTTATTATCGATATCAGAACTTCTCAATCTTCTTAGAAATGGGACCGTCATCATGTATAGCCTTTAGGGGCTTTGCTGTTGCACACAGAAGATTTGATTGCGATTCCCGAGTGGGGAGAAAATTTTTATCGAGTTTCTCTATCTTTCTGCTTGGATGTCATATCCTTCTCAGCCTGGGTTGCTCCTCACAAGTGGTGTCGGAAGCCTGCTTCCTAAACGATCAAAGTTGTATCAGAGTGGACCTAAAAAATACTCACATTACCCCCAAAAAATAATTTAAAAAAATAATTGGCAAAAAAAAAGTTAAATGTATGCTTCCCAGGAAGCTGAGATTGTTTCAGAGTGCTATCAGCTTTGTTGGAGTAATAATATACAGTGTAACCCAGAAAGGTTGAACACAAAAGACTCAAAATCACACATCCGTCGAACTTTGCCCCCGCGGCCCTGTTTTTATATTTTCGAACTAGCGAGGCCGGTCCTGATGAATTCGAGCTGTTCATGTTATACTGTAGATTGTAAAGCGCATGTTGTTATTTTCAAATCCCTTTAGCTGGTAGCGAATTCACTCTTGGCAGCGCAATGCCTCCCTCGAGTAGCCACATGTCCTTGTCATCTGGTCAACGCCAGAGTGTAAAGCGCATAGAGCTTGCTTGTTTCATAAAGCTGTCAGGTCTGCTGGAGCCATAATATAGACTGTAAAGCGCACAAGGCTTGCTGTTGAGCGGGAATTTGCACTCTATACAAATGCTGTCTATTATTACATTATTTCATGTGTGCCCCACAGGCCCTGCGGGTGGGCGGTTGGCGGGTGCTCTGGTGTGGTTTGCTTCTTTTTTCCTATCCAACATCTATTGTACTTATCTCCCCTTCTTCTTTTTTATGTTTGTTACTCTCTTGTAATACCTCTAATCTTCTGGCGCTCATATGACCTTATGCAGTTGCGAGCTCTGTAAAACCTCTACTAAAACTAAAACTAAGGCCCTGCGAGTGGTTGGAGGGTGCCACGGGTAGGTCCTACTTCTTTACTTTCCCTCTCTATTGTTTCTGTCTGTCTGTCTTACTTTTTCCCAGCACTAAATGACCATTATTGTTTCGATGTGCTTCTCTATATTCAAACTAAACTAAACTACACCATGTGGGTGGTTGGCGGGTGCTCTGCTGAGGTTTGCTCATCTATCGTCCTTATCTCCCCTTCTGCAGTTGCGAGAGCCGTAAAACCTCTACTAAAACAAACAAACAAACATCTCTCCTCCTTCTTTTTTTATGTTTGTTACTCTCTTGTAACACCTCTAATCTTTGGCACTTATGTGGCCTTATTGTGTTGCAAGCGGCGTAAAACACTTACTATACTAAACCAAACCTAAACCACAGGCCTTGCGGAAAGCCAGCGTCTGAAGGAAGAGAACGACGCGCTCAAGTGTCAGATGGAAGCCTTCAAGAACGAGGTGGACACGGTCCGGCAGGAGGCCAGGCAGGAGATGGACGACAAGGAGAAGCAGATGAAGGCGCTGCAGAACGCTCTACAGGGCATGCAGCAGGTAGTTGTAGTTGTTGTTGTTGTTGTTGTTGTTGTTGCTGTTGCTGTTGTTGCTGTTGTTGTTGTTATAGTCATCATGGAAGAGGAGAAGCAGAGTATAGCTTTGCTGGGCATGCAGCAGGTAGTTGTTGCTGTTGTTGTTGTTGTTGTTGTTGTTGTTGTTGTTGTTGTTGTTATAGTCCTTATGGAGGACAAGGAGAAGCAGATGAAAACTTGTGGGTGGTTGGCGGGTGCTCTGGTGTGGTTTGCTCCTTCTATCCTATCAAACATCTCTATCGTCCTTATCTCCCCTTCTTCTCATCAATTTTTGGTCATGTGGAGTTATTAGTATCATCTTAGAGATTGTTCATTTGTCTTGCTGTCAATTAAAAGAAAGTACTCATCTAGAATAGAAGTCGAGATATTAACGATTGAAGAAGGTGGGGGTCGCCTAGCTTCAGAGGTAAAATTAGCGAGAAAATGGCGGCCAAAGTTGAGTTATTTCCTTAGCTTGAGAGTCCGTGGAAACTGAAAATTTACATCTTTTATGCCTTTAATCAATGTAAAATCTCCATAGAAATGTGTTCTTTAATGGGCTTGAAAGGTGTTGAGCCAAAAAACAAAAATTCTATAAATATTCCCAAGCATACGGAAAAATGCCAGTTTTTTTACTTACATTATTTTGATGACCCTCTGATTTCATTACACTGCCTCACATACATACATACATATATATGTATATTTTATTTTACTGTATTATATTAACTTTTTCTCCCGTGGCCTCCACTCCACAGCAATTAATTGCTCAAAGAGCTGCTGCTGCTGCTGCTGCTGCTGCTGCTGCTGCTGCTACTGCCACTGCCAGCCAGAATACAGAGAGAAGAGAGGAAGTGACGGAGAAACAAAGGGAAGGAACGAATAAAGAGGTACGCCTGACAGTCATCTGTACATCGCCGTTGCTGTGATTCACTAGTGTTGTAAATAGTAATAACTAGCTGGGACCCCTTTCGATGAAAGGAATGATCGGCGTATTAACATCAACTGAAAGTAATTGGCCTACTATATTTACACTCTATTGGAATGGAACAATAAATCTTGAGAGATGCCAAAAATTAGAAGGTCTAGATCTATACTCTCAAAACAAAATGCGCCGCGCGAAATATCACTTCCGGATTTTCAAAAATTACAGAGACAGAAGTGTCGGCCTTCAAAAGCGATCGGCGAAATAAAGAAATTTAGCTTTTTGCAGCAAAACTGTCTCAAAACCAAGGGCGCCATGATCTGGAGAATATAAAAAAAATTTTTTTGGCGAAAACAGCATGTGGATTGATGCAGCCATTAAAAAGCCTTTTGAATAGCAAAATTCGGCCACCACAAATAGATAATAGATGATAATAATGATAATAATGATAATAATATAGCGGAGTCTGCTTCAATCGAACACGGTGAAATGAGAAAAGGACGATAATGTGAAAGAAGGAAATAAAATCCTCCATTTTTTTTTTCCTTCTATTTGGGCAACTTCTCTGAACTGAAAAGTCTGTCAAAATTTACTATCTGTGTTGAGTTTTTACAATTTATGAGTATGAAATGAGAAAAGACATGTTTAATAACTTGAAGGAAATGGCATCAGTTGAAAATTTACAAACTTGACCTTTGTGTTGTTTTTTGGCTGGTATACTCAATTTGTGGATTGCGAGAAGTGACTCTTTTTGTTAGCAGGTCTGGCATTTGTAACTTCCTAGACCAGTAACATGTGTGTGTTTCCCTCCCCCCCCCCCCCCCCCCCCCCCCCAGCTCCACCCACCGACTTCAGCGTTTCTATTGGTTGAGATAATCATTTCAACATGTTTCTATTTGTTGAAATGAATCTCCTCAGCATGTTTCTATTGATTGAAATGAATCTCCTCAGCATGTTTCTTTTGGTGGAAATGAATCTCCTCAGCATGTTTCTATTGGTTGAGATAATCATTTCAACATGTTTCTATTGGTGGAAATGAATCACCTCGACATGTTTCTATTGGTGGAAATGAATCACCTCGACATGTTTCTATTGGTGGAAATGAATCACCTCGACATGTTTCTATTTGCCAAAATGAATCACTTCGACATGTTTCTATTGGTGGAAATGAATCACCTCAAACCCTCTGGGTCCGTGCTACTGATTTGAAGTGTCTTTAGGCCATTCCCAAAGGGGGGACATTGAACATGTTCTTATGCTCAGCAGAATTGTAATTGTAAATGGGCTGATTTATCAATGTCATGCTCATAACTGTGCCTGAATTGCAATGGGGAACTGCTGCTTTTTTTCTCCTAACCTTCTTTTTGTATGTTTGTCACACTCTTGTGACCGGCTATTTCCAAGGTGCCTTGATAGTCGAAGCGTACTTTGTGTTGTTGAAGCTAGAGAGGTGAGCAGAGTAAGTTTGATTCCTATGACTTTATGCAGTTGCGAGCGCCGTAAAACCTTTACAAAAACAAACGAATCATCTCAGTGTGTTTCTATTGGTTGAAATGAATCTCCTCAACATGTTTCTATTGGTCAAAATGAGTCACCTCGACATGTTTCTATTGGTGGAAATGAATCACCTCGTGTTTCTATTGGTTGAAATGAATCACCTCAATTTTTTTTTTCTGTTGGTTGAGATGATTCGTTTCAACATTGAGTAACCTCCACGTATTTCAAGGTTGAGATTAATGTCCTCAACATGTTTTTTGGTTGAAATGAATTGGGCCTCACTATTCAATCATCTCAGAGTACAATCTTTCCCTGCTTTCTTACTCTCTAACAATGTTCTGTCGTCTGCTTTCGTCTACCCTTTCCCCCCCCGACTCTGGGCTCCTAAATCTTTCTACTGCTACTCCTTTTCTCCTTCTTACTGCTGTCTTTCAGCCACACCCCTGATCTAACACCTATTCTTCTTGGATAATGGCTAAAAGTGTCGGAGGTCTCGTGTGCAAGTTACCCGCATAAAAGATACCTTGGTGGTCCAAAATCGATAAGAGTAGGCTTCGGCTGCTCCCCGGGCAAAATTCAAAATTTCCTACCAACTGCAAATGCTTATTGTGTCCCGCGCGCTCATATAATATGATCTTATGCAGTTGTGAGCGCAAAAAAACACTTACCACAACATTTTTAAAAAAAAATGTGCAATCATCTCAGTGTTTCTATTTGTTGCCTTTGACAGGACGAGGGTACAGGCTCAGGGTCGTCCAGCGGGTCAAAAGAAGAAACTGTGACGAGCAGTGCTCTTAGTCTCACAGAGAAAGAAGCCAAAATGATAGGTGAGTTTCTTCTTGTTTTTGGTTGTTTTTTTTTAAAATTCTAAGACAAACACCTGTCCAAATGGCCACTTCCCATTTCCCCTCTTGTACTTTAAAAAAATCATTATAATGACACCTTGTAAGACAGTCGCCTGTCTAAGATGGCCATTTTTCTCCTTGACAATGGGTAGATCTAACCGTCATTGACAATGTTGAAAATAGAATCTTCGCTGAAAGTAAAATATTAGTTGAAAGTAAAATTTGTGATACAAATTTAATATACATGTTTGTTGAAAGTAAAATATTCGTTGCAAATAAAAAGTATTTGTTGACACTCTTGTCGGCAGGAGGTTGATGGGTAGGCCTACTTTGGTGTGGTTTGCTCCTTCTGTCTTTCCTCCTATCAAACATCTGTCGTCCTTATCTCTCCTTCTTTTTTTTTAGTGTCCTATTCTTTTTTCTATCGTCCTTATCTCTCCTTTTTTGTGTTTGTTGCTCTCTTGTAGCAGCTCTAGTCTTCGACGCTTTATATGTGACCTAATTGTGTTGCAAGTGTTGTAAAACACTTACTAAAACTAAAGTGAATCCAAAAGAGGTCCACCTCCACTCTATTCCCCCCCGTCTTTATCTCTCCTTCTTTTTTGTATTTGTTACTCACTTGTAACACCTCTAATCTTCGGCAATTTTATATGACGTAATTTTTTTTTGCTAGTGCAGTAAAACATTAAGTAGATCTATACTGAAACTCTTGTCTGTGTGGGCAGGTCTGATCTGCTGCTTCCTGCACGTGCATCCACACGGAGCCACGGTGGACTACCTGTGGTCGTACCTGCGGCAGCTGATGGCGGGAGTGAGGGCCAGGGAGGTGGAGGACTTGCTGGAGAAGACGCCCGCACTGTTCCAGCAGGAGATTCGAGGGGTCGGGGCGGGGATAGAGCGGAGGTGGATCTTTTCGGGGCTCAGTGCTAGTTCTGTTGGCAGTAGTGGTCAATGAGAGATAGCTGGTGGGGAG